TTTACACTGAAATCTTTTGATCTCTTTTTGCTTCCTTTCGTAGACTGAGAGGCTTGTTCAACAACATTTTGTCCTTCAGGTGAGATACCAAAATAAGACACATCAAAATCAACCTCAGCGTTGTCCACATTGCTCCCAAAAACATCATTGAAGCTGGGCATTTTCATCTTCCTGCACTGCAAAGTACATTGCAAACCAATTCAATAAGAGTTGCTGAATTAAACAAGCCAAATCAATTTATTATTGCAAAATCAATTTCAATATACGATGTTCAGTTGCACAAACCGTAAAAACATTTATTACATGAATGCTCTCACTCTCTCTTTGACCCTATATGCTCTCACGAAAAGGTTAAAAAATCATTTGCCATGTGCTTTTAGCTACTTGTCTAAATTCTATGTCTGTCACGTTTAATACCTGCCTAGCGGCACAAGCAGCAAGCAATCGTACTATGTTTTCTTTGCTATCTACTTCCTGCTCTCCCTCTCTATCACGGTGGATGGCATAGCAGCACAAGCAACAGATCCCTGTCATCTCGTGTGGTGCTTGCTGCTCAGGCACAGAGCAGTAGCGCGGCGGAGCGAGCTGCCCAACCAGTGCGTGAGCAGTGCTTGCTGCTCTAGCTGATCGTAGCTGCGCGGATCTATAATGTCCTCCCCACGATGGGATCTAGCAGATACGGTCTCTCTCTCTCTCTCTCTCATCGTCTCTACTGGTACTCATCATCTCTACTGATACTAATGCGATTGGAGGATTGGCATACTTGGCCGATGATGTAGCCGGACGGCAGCGTCGGAGACCGGCGGCGTCGACACAGAGTAGGCGTGAGCGGACATGTCCGAGCGCGCGCACAGGCTTGTGGTGGTTTTCCATCACCACTGTTTTGATCGGGGAGGGGATCTCGTGCTTTCACCGGCGGCGCTTCAGCCCATGGTGGTGCGCGTCCAAGCAGCGGAGCAGTGCCCGGACATGACCAGCGCCAGCAGGAGGCGCGCCCCAGGCCGCGGCGGGCATCGCGCGTGGATTAGGAAGGAGCGGTGGCGACTGTCGCATGTTCGTCGGGGGGGATGGGGAGGGCGAGGTCGGGGGCCTGGTTCATGGCGGCGGCCGCGGATCCTGATGGAGTGACAACGCGGATCGAGTCGGGGAGGGCTGGAGGTAGGGGCAGCGCAAGGAAGATTTTTTTTCTGAAAAAAAAGCAATCGGTGAAAAGGAGGGGGAGGGGATCGAACTGTGGCTGCGCGGGAGCGGGCGTGTGGGGCTGGGCGTGGCGTGGGAGGACATGCGAGTGATGAGGAGGTTGATACACACAACGTGGACCGTTCGATCTGGGTGAGTGAGCAACGAGAGAGAATGCTCAGACTAAATCTGGACGGTCTATTTTGAAGATGTTATTTTGCTGAGTATACTTTTCTAGGTGGATAGAGAGGGAGTATCTCAGCGGGGGACGTTTTTTTGTGTGGATCTAGGAAAGAAAATATTAGTGAATTAGTTGGGTAGAAAAGTACACACGAAGATTCTAATTTGTTAGGAGGATCACGTATATAAATTTTCTTGTTCCTTTACTAGTGAACACGAGAATAAGGAAGGAGGCCAACGCTAAATGACGGGCCGAGATTTCCTGCCTCTTTTTTTTCCTAAATATAGTAATTAGTAATTAATTAAATGTTGGAACAAAAAATGAATGAACAAAAAAGTCAAAGTGATTTATAATTTAGAACGGATGGAGTAGTTACTTAAATGTTGTATGCATTTCAAAAATCAAGAGCCAAGATTTACTCTAATTATGTTAATCGGCACCAACTGATGCAAATAAAGATCCGATTGGAGAAAGGATCGACTTTCACCTCCAGAGCTACCATTAAAAAAAGGATTAAGGTCAACAGTCTCAAGCGCAAAAGAAACGTGGACACATTCCAAGGAAATATGTACAACATTCCAAGGAAAGATGTACAGAAAACCATTTCTGGTTAACCTGATACCTAAGAATTAATTGACAATTGCATCCTTTATGTAAGATATGCACCTAATTTGCCGTCTCTCCATCCCAAAACAAATCAACTTATAAAGTTATACTAAGTCAAACTATTTTAAGTTTAACCAAACACATCTCAGTGCAACAGAATGACATTACAGTGGAGGAAAAGCGTATTGCACTGGTTTAAGCAATTAGCTCTAAGCAAGGCAACATGCTAAGACTAACATACAATGGACAAATTAGTCAAAGAGACAATATTATAGTTTCCTTGGCTTGACACAAGCATTAATTCTCTAACATTTTGCTGAGTTCTTCAAACTCTAGATGCCTTCAGTTTTCCTCGAACATCCATTTCAAATGCAGCTACAGCTACAGGTATTCATTTCAACGGTATGCTGCATGTAGCGCTGTCCACGTGCTCCACCTTTGCCATGTTCTCCGGTCTAAGTCAAATCTGTGGCGATAAATAAAAATACAGTAGTTAATATATAGCAGACTGCACAAGGGCTCAAGAGGCAACAGCCATATAGCTCGCTGCCTCGCTCAACAAGAAGAAACTCTGCAAATTGCTAAAAACCCACCAGAGCTTCTTCTGGGAAGTACCAGGACACTTTCGTGTGGCTTTAACCGTCCAAATATGTCGCCGTCTCGCCGGAAGGCGTTCAGTGCAACGGCACAAGCGGCATGCCTGAGAGTCTCTTTTGCATGGTCGTATTTATGTTTCTTTCGTGAATTGCTATAATGTTTGGGTTCGTAGTGCTCTGTGGTGTTTCAGACTACAAAATTGGGTTTGTTTGCATCAGCTAAGTCCAACTACTAGTTAGAGCTAAAAACACTACTAAAAATTGTTTTTTTTAGCGACAATCAGTTCGAACTAAGCTATCTCTAGAAATGCATTTGTAGACATGGCTGCTGTTTTCAGCCGCCTCTATAAATGCTTCTATTTTTTTAGGCGGCTCTATTTCGAGCTACCTCTAAATTTTAAATTTTTCTAACGACCTTAGATGAAAAAATGACAAAAACTAAAGTTTTAGATCTTGAAAAGTTATACAACTTTGTAGTTGATAATTTTTTTCATTTGAAATCATCTATCCTTTAAAAATTACGTTTGAATTTCTTACATTTAAAATTCAAGATTTTTCAAACGGCCTCAGATGGAGAAACGACCGAACCAAAGTTGTGGATTTAGACGATATCTATAACTTAGCAGTTGAAAAACTTTGTTATTTAAATTTGTTTAGGATCTCAAGTACTCATTTTAAAACCGTATGAAGACAACACAAAGAGAAGGAATATGTTGTATTGACACATGTGCCTTTAGAGTAGAATGGTTAGAGAAGTAACGCGTGAGGCGTGAGGTCATGTGACGACACACGTGTGTGGCAGGCGGGTGGGGTCTATCTAAATTATAAAAAATCCTATATTTTGAGTATGAATTTGTGATTTCTGGAATGATTTGTACCGCCAATATAAATCGATTTCTAGAGGCAGCTAGCTCCTGTTGCCCCTAGAAATCCAATTTGTAGAGACAACAAAGTCCACCTCTACAAATCCTAGCTGCCTCTACACATCCAGTCAGTTGTAGTGAAATTAGTCTAAATTAGTTAGTGTTGACTTGTTAAATGGCTAATAACTAGTTAAATACTTGGCTAAAATTTAGTCCATCTATTAGTGTATCTCCAAAAGGCTCTTTACATGGCTTTTTATTGTAAAATTTAGAAAAGCATGCATCAATAATAGACTCTCTAAATCACTCTTCATCTTTTTAGCTCTTTGAAACCACCCTTCTCGCTCCCCACTTTTGGACAGGCTACTTGGCTCTCTAAATGCAATATATGATAGTTTTCTTATGATTTTTTTCACATAAGAAAATTTTGATAAGCTATTAGAGCAATTTCAAGAGGTTCTTCATATCATTCCTAATATATAGAAATAGAAATTGTGATTAAAAAAAGTACCCTGCAACAACCTCTTTAATTAGATATCCAGCCTGTTCGTTTGGCTGTGGCTTGTCGTAAACGATCGTAAATTTCCAGCCAGAACAGTATTTTTCTCTCACACAAACCAGCCAGCAGTACTTCTTCACGAACCAGCAACGAAACGAACCAGCCAACCGAACAGGCTGATAGACATCATCTATTCTGAGTTTCTCGCTAGTCAAGTATGGAGAGCGAGGATGGCTCTAGTGTGCACTAAGACATAGAAAAGTTGTTGAAGGATACAAAGATATAGAAAACAATTTTATTCAAGTGACTCTCGAGACACGAGGATACATAAAGAGAATATTCGTTGAATAGCTCTCCAAATAAAGATAGATATTGAAATTTATAGAGGCTCTTGGGGTTACTCTTAGCCATCCTGTTTACATCCTGTTTAAATGGGCTAGAGCTAATTGTAGCTAGCAAATAATTAATTAGCATCGTTATCACAACATGTAAAGTCTATGTGATCGCGTGTGTTTGTCAACACATGTTGGTAGAATGATCATTGGCTACGTTGCAATCTTCTCTCTTATAGATATCCTTTGAACGCAAAAATTTCACATAAATCAGTTCATTTTCGTAGAAAATATGTAGAAAATAAAGAAGTTTGCCACTTTCCAAAGACGGTCTTAACAAAATAGGAGTACAGTATACGTGCTAAAGCACGTTTACGGAAAAAAAAAACACACCAAGAGATACAAGAGTGGTGTGGTCGTTGAACTGAAATGCAGCCATCTGGATTCGTTCATAACTAACCAGTAAACTTATTTAGGCTAGGCCACGTTCGGTTGTTTAGGAATTAAATCTAGCCGGAGGATCCCTTCGATAATTTGTATAGCGATGGAACGTTCCCGGCCTGGAATGGTACAGAACAGTCTAACCGAACGGCGCCTTAAGCAGCTTACGAAAAATTGCTAGGATGAGCAACACTCGACGACTCTAACCAGGATGGCCGAATGAACAGCAATACTTTGATTTCTTTCTTTTCTTTTCTTTTGCGTGGAAAGCTTAGAGCTCACTCGATCGACGACACTGCTGGCTTATCTCCCGCGTCCAAGCTCCTGCACCAGCCCATCCAGCTCCCGCCGCGAGCTGCCACCTTCGCCTATCGCCTCCGCCATTCTGGCGGCGATCTCCACGGCGCGCGCCCTCATGCCAGCGCCGGCCTCCCCGACGACCTGCGCCAACGCGCGTGCGAGCTCGTCGGCTTCCGGGACCGCGCCGAACCCGCCCCAGCTCGCGGCCAAGGCCACGCGTGCCTCCTCCACGACCAGCCGCGCGTTGAAGAACTGGTCGGCCGCCATCGGCCACGCCAGCATCGGCACCCCGGCCGCACAGGCCTCCAGCACCGAGTTCCACCCGCAGTGCGTGACGAAGCAGCCCACCGCGCGGTGGCGCAGCGCGGCTACCTGCGGCGCCCACCCGCGGAGCACAAGCCCGGTCCCCGCCGCGACCGCGCGGTCCTCGAACCCATCCGGGAGTGTCGCCGTCGCCGCGGCCCAGACGAACGGCGTGCCGCTGCGCTCCAGCGCGGCAGCGAGCGCCGCGGCGTGCGGCGGCGGCGGCACCATCATGGTCCCGAAGCTCACGTACGCCACCGACGAGTCCGGGAACGCGTCCAGCCACGCGTTGACGTCGCCGGCGGGGTCGCCTTCGCCTGTGCTAGCCGGCGGGGGCGCCACCGGTCCCACTGCCCACACGCGCTTGCTGGCTAGGTCCGTAAGCGGCTGCGCCTCCAGGTACTTCCCCTCGAGAGGGTGGCAGGTGTTGCACACGAACGCCGCGCCCTCCATGTTCCAGAGGAAGTTATCCTTGATCCCCTCGGAGTGCTCGTCGCGGCCGCCCTCCGCGTAGCTCCTGTACATCCGCGAGATCTGCCGCCACGGGTAGGACGGCGCACCGGGCAGCGCCGGAAACGAGACGGTGTAGCCGCGCCCGGCGTCGCCCTCGGGCGGCCTTGGCATTCGTCGGAACAGCGAGTGCGTGGCGGCCGTGGCAAGCACGCCGGACGGCGCGAACACCAGCCGCGGGATGCCGGCCTCCGCTGCGAGCGGCTGCGTCCACCCGCAGAAGAAATCCGAGATCACGGCAACGACTCGCCCGTCTGCGGCGACGTCGTCGTCCTCGGAGTCGGAGCGGGCGTGGGACCGCAGCCACTCGCCGAGCGGCGCGCGCAGGGCGGCGGCGTGCGCGTGGAAGTCGGCGCCGACGGAGGTCCGGCCCGACGTGTCGTGGTCAACGGTGGAGGGGAACGAGAGCGACCGCACCGAGGAAGGGTGCTCAGCGAGGAGCGGCGCGAGGAGGTGGGTCGTGGCGGATGTCTCGACGACGGTGAGGCGGAGGCCGCGCGCGGCGAGGAGCGAGGCGAGGTGGAGGAGCGGCTGCATGTGGCCCTGCGCGGGGTACGGGACTAGTAGCACATGCGGCGCTCCGGTGGTGTTGCCGGTGCCGGAGGGGGCTTGCGCGGCGGTCATGCGTGTACTGTGGCTGCAGTCGTCGCGCGGGCTTGATCTGCTACAGCTTGCGCACGGATCGACGATTATCGGCGTGGACTGAGGTGGTTGCTTCTAGTTACAGTTCTACTTACAAGTCTTGTGGGAATTAGGGATCGGAAGAACAGAAGTAATAGAATGGAAGAACAGAGACGAAGGAGTCGTCGTGTTTGGAGAGCTCGAAATTTATAATCTCTCCATCCCAAATTATAAGACATTTGACTTTTTTTAGCCTCAAATCGACCACTCGTCTTATTCAAAAAATTTATGCAAATATAGTCAAATTTAAGTTATTTTTGAAGAATTTTTATTAATAAATCAAACCACGACGAAAGAAGTGATATTTTACACAAATTTTTGAATAAGACGAGTGGTCAAACTTGATGTAAAAAAAATCAAACGTCTTACGATTTGGAATGAATTGAGTAATATCCTGCATCATTTCCTCTCTGTTGCTTTTTATTTATATATAGCACGATAGCTGAAGCAGTGAAGCTACACGCCACTCAGAAGTCAAAAGTCAAAAGAGCATCAGGAGTGGATGTGGCCGACCTTTTAATATTAAGATGGGTTTCATGTTGTGTACTAAACGCCGAACCTACTACTCAATCCACATACTAGTAGAAATTAAAGTTGGTTTAGGGGTAGGAGCGTTTGCACAACTGAAATTGTTTGGGATGTTTTAACAGGCTTGCGGACGCGAATGCCCCCCTCGCTTTGGTTCCTGTCATGCCGCTTCACGGGAGCAATAAAATCGTGCCGTCTCTGTTGCCGTCACTGCGGGATACGGGAGGTTTGTCGATTGACAGGGGCACTCGACAAAGCTCGACTACCTCTTTGCCGAGTGTTCCACTCAGCAACCAACACACGACAAAGATTTATCGGCAAATATTTTTTACCGAGTGTTTTTTATCAGACACTCGGCAAACACTTTGTCAAGTGGAAAAAAAACACTTGGCAAACTTTTTTTAAAGAAAATAAAAAAAACAAGCACAGGCCACCACCACCGGCCGGCCACCACCACCGCCTGGTTGGAAGGGCGAGGCGAGGGGGGAGAGCGAGGACGAAGCAACGGAGGGTGCCGCCGCGACGAGCTAGGCACCGAGTTCACCGTCTCAGGCCTAGCCGCGGTTGACGGCAGCGAGGAGGCCTCCATGGGCACCTCCCGAGTCGCCGATGATGGGGGACGGGGGCTTCCCACGCTAGATTCGGTTGGCCCCACCGTGGATGGCGCCTGCTGTGCATCTGGCGAGACACTGACCATGGCGGCGCCGGCATCCGGCCCCGGCGGAGCGGGGGGGCATGGAGGGCTCGCTGGCCAGGCAGCCGGCGTCCGAGCAGGGGCTCGCGGGGCCTACCTCGGCGTAGTCAGCGGCGGGATCCAGTCTTTATTGAGGCAACCGCCACATGCATCACACATGACAATGACAGTGGTGGTGACGCATCGGTTCTGTCTTGAGAGCCCATGGAGGTGGGGAAAGGGAGGGGCTGGAGGTGGATCTAGGGAGGGGAGAGAGAGAAGGCGAGGAGGTGCCTGTGCACGCGTCCGGGGAGAGGGGGAAAGGGAGGAGCTGCTGGTGGATCTGTGGAGGGGAGGGGAGAGGAGGGGAGGGTATTTGACGGGATTTTTCTTTGTTTGCCGAGTGTCCTGGATCTAGGCACTCGACAAAGTTTGTTCAGAAAAAAAAGTTATTTATTTCTTTGCCGAGTGTTTCAGATCTGAGCACTCGGCATAGTTTTTTTTTCATTTTTTTTCTCTTTCTTTTCCAGAAAAAAGATTTTATTTCTTTGCCTGAGAGTTCTAGATCTGAGCACTCGGCAAAAAAAATCATTTTTTTTCTTCTCCTTTTCTAAAAAATGATTTTATTTTTTTGCCGAGTGTTTTTTTTACACTCGGCAAACCTCATTTTTGCCAAGTGTTTTTTTTACACTCGGTAAACCCCCTCTTTGCCGAGTGTTTTTATTTTGCCGAGTGTTTTTAGCTGAGCACTCGGCAAAGAGCTTGTTTGCCGAGTGCCCGAGGAAATACACTCGGCAAACATAAAACACACTCGGTAAATTTGAGGATTCCGGTAGTGCGTCCCCTCCGCTCCTCCTTCCTACCTTGCTCGCTCACTTGCAATAGGTCGGGGAGCGGACGGACATGCTCGATAGCCGCCATGGTCTCCGCGGCGCTGTTGTTGCTGGCACTCTTCGGCCGCGCCAGGATCAAGACGGTGGACGTGTTTAGCCCACGTGTTTGTGGGACTCCTCATCGGATTACGCACCATATTCATCTAGCGGCAAGTTAAAATCAAATCCTACCTATCCAAAAGAAACGTTTGAATATGAAACGACGCTTGCACGGCAAATGAATTAAGTGAAGAGACGCATATCTCCAAGTAGCAAAAAAAAGTGAAGAGACGCATTACCGTTGCCATGCCATGTTCCAATAGAGGCTCGTTGAGATCGAAGCCAGTAAATAAATCGGCCATGTGTTGCACGGTACATGAACAAGAGAAGAGGTGAGGAAAAACGAACGACAGAGATCCTAAATTCGCGCCACAATGTCATTCGCACTTCATGCAAAAAATACCACACAGGGAGGAATCAAACCGGGCTCTTGCCCGAATTTTTTACTTTTTAGCTCTTTTTTGAAAGTTTTTTCACAAATATGCCCCTGTAGGAAAGATTTTAGAATCTGGACCCTTATCTCGGCGCCATTGATGCTGGCGCCGAGCTAACACGTCTCGGCGCCAACGTCCCTGGCGCCGAGCTCTTGGGCTCGAGACCGACGTGGAGGTGACATGGCACCCTGGCGCCGAGCTCGGCGCCGTAGATCTTGGTGCCGAGCTCAGCGCCAGGGTGACTGGCACCGAGCTCCCTGCCATAACCTCGGCCCAACCTTCTTGCCCGAGCCTTCTTCCCCTTCTTTCTCCTCCCTATCGGATTTTTTCTCTCCCCACTTCGCCCTACCTCACTAATCGGCATATTGGACCTTGAAAACCTTGATTTGATCCGTAGATCTTCGAGAGCAAGGTATCCTCGCTCCCCTCCTAGTTTTTTCGCATCGATTTGGTATATATTAGTCGGATTTTTCAACCTAAGAATCATCATTACTTAGGGTTTCATTCTATCCCTCAATATTTGTATTATACAACCGTAGGATGATGCCAATGCGTGGAAAAGCTAGCAAACCTAGGCACGTGTAGTTATGTTATGGGTTCATTGTTGTGCATCAAATGGAAAACCTTAGCTTTAGGGTTTAATGTTAATTGCTTTCGGTTCTTAGAACAAAATTGGTTGTATTGTAGTTATGGTTCTCATTGACATTTATTTGTGATGTTTTGATTTATGTTTGTTAAATTACATCCATTTTGTTAGATGCAAGAAATGTTTTAGGAGGAGTTTTGGTGAAAACGGGGTCGTCCTCGAGAATTATACCTCAACGCGTCTAGCAAAGATGCCCCTGCCCCTCCTGACCTCCCTGACCCTAACTGTGATTGTGGTTTCTAGGCCCATGTTTTTCAATCGAAACATCCAGACACAGCGGCGTGGTGCTTCTACACATGCAGTCGTTTTAATGTAAGAAATTGTTTCCACTATCTTTTTTCTTTATTTGTGTAAGTATGCTACTAATATTTTATTGAAATCTCATTGTGTAGGACCATGAGAGGTGCTTTTTCTTTTAGTGGATCGATGGTGTAGACAAGTTTGATCCTAGGTATCTCCTTTTCGACGATTGGTTTAGAGGGAGACATCCACATGAGCGCTTCAAGCGGTGGGTTCCACCCTCCCCTAACTGTCGACGAAAGATGCTCGGCAGTCCACCGAGGGGTATCCCACGATGGTAGATTTGTCGGTGGGGATGCGCATAATCAGGAATCGGATGGTGACACAAGGCGCAGAGATAGCGATTTAGACAAGTTCGGGCCATCTGATCGACATAATACCCTACGTCATGTGTCTTTGGTGTATTGTATTGAGATGTAGTAGATAGATCTAGATGGATCTCTGTCCGCTAGGGGACCCCTGCCTCTCCTTATCTACTCTGGAGGGGTAGGGTTACAAGTAAAGTATCTTATTTGGTACTATACAATATCTTGCGGTGCACGCCGAGCAGCGCCGTGCACGCGTTGATCTTGTGGGCTGGGCCACCTCTAATGGTGCGGCCCATGTCTTGTCTTGAGGATACCGGGGGCCATACCCCCACAGCTCGTCCCCGAGCCTGACAGTAGATGACGTAGTCACGTGGTGCCAGGGTTAGAAAGTAGAAGATCAGCCGAGTAGGCAGCCAGTCCCCGGGCGTAACCTTGAGATGAGAAAAGCGCACATTCACCGCAAGATGAAGTGTGCCCACTTAGTCCCCGAGCCTGCTCGGATCTTGTAGCAGGGTCAAAGAAAAAGAAGTCTGAAAGCTTGCCGACGTCGTCTGACATGCGCGTATCAAGACCCCAAACGTGCTGCACAAAATCAGCACCCTAATCCGAATAGCATGGAGCAGCTTGATAGCACACCGACGAGACGTAGCAAGATCCGAGCAGCAAGGGCGATGTCCAAGCGCCGAGGAGTCCCCGGCGTAGGCGGCGATGTTCGAGCACCGAGGAGTCCCCGGCGTAGCTGGCGATGTCCGAGCACCGAGGAGTCCGTGGCGTAGCTGGCGATCTCCGAGTAGCGAGGAGTCCCCGGCATCGCTGGCGATGTCCGAGCACCGAGGAGCGAGCAGTCCCCGACGTCACTGGCGATGTCCGAGCACCAAGGAGAAAGGAGTCCCCAGCGTCGCTGGCGATGTCCGAGCACCGAGGAGCGAGGAGTCCCCGGCGTCGCTGATGATGTCCGAGGGGATGTCCGAGCACCGATGAGCGAGGAGTCCCCGGCGTCGCTGGTGATGTTCGAGCACCGAGGAGCGAGGAGCG